GCGGGGCGCGCTCCCGCCCCCTCCCGACTCCACCTGCTTCTCCCACCCCGAGCAATCGTCGCAGCACCATCACCACCACCGAGACAAATACCTAAGGCCCGGGACCGGCCTCGGAGGAGGGGGGTGCACCTCGAGGGTGGGGGACTTCTCGGTCTCCAAGCCCTGGCGCGCCAGGGGATGGGGAAGCATTCGGGGAGGAACCGGGCAGGGAGGCAAGCGGAGCGGCGGGACCGGCGGGCCACTTTTCAGCCAAGGTGACCTCCGAAAGCCACAGCCGCCCTCTGCAGGGAGAGTCTAGACCCTCCTCTGGCTCTGCCGGGACGCCCCCCTCCCCCGCTCCTTAGACTCGGCTCAGCCGCGGAGATCCAGTCCCCCGGCGCCCCCTGCTGGGCTGTCTCCTTGCCCCCAGCTCCGGTTGCGGCCCCTCCTGCAGGCGTCTGCTGGAACTGCAGAGGCCCGCGCTAGGAGTGAGGGGAGTCAGCTCCGCCGTCAGGGAGGACCCCCAAAAGGGCGCGCTCCAGCCCCTTCTCACACCTCGCTTGGCTCTGCCCGGCCACCTCCAAGGCAGCATGCAGAGCGCCAGCTCTGCCCCGCCCCGGCTTTCTTCCCACCCCCTCCCTGTCCCACCCTGGCCTACCTGTTGGCTCCACAGACTTCTCCGGCTCTGACCAGCACTGACCATGACCCCTCCTCCTGTGCTGGTTGCTTCCTTCCTCTCTCCCTTCGGTTCTCTGTCCTGTCTCTCCTCTCCCAAGCTGCTCTTGGGGAGGAGAAGGTGGACTGAGTCCCCTGCCTCTTTTCTTTACTCCTGGCATCCCCAAAGCCGCTTTAGATGGAGCAGGAAAGGGGCACAGGACCTCTCTTCAATAAAGGACACCAGGCAGAGTGACAAGCAGGCAGCGAGGCAGGAGAGAAGACCCCACCCCAAGTGCCCAAATGACAAACCGGTTTCCCCACTTCCTAGTCTACCAGGTTGCAACCTTAATCTAGGCTCTCCCATTTTCCTGCCCGCCCTCAGGCCTGCCCCTGAGCCAGCCACATGCCTGGCTGGGGGCAAGTCCCAGATGCCCCTCGAGATTAATCTCCAGTTGCAGTAACTTAGGTGGTAGGGCCAGGGCAGGAGGGCTGGGGTGGCCCTTCCCAGCTCCAGCAGGATAGCTCCGGAGCCAAGAGCTGTGTCTCGGACACACCGTCTGGGCACACGACCCCAGCAATCGGCACCCTGACTTCTCCAGTCCTGGGCCAGCTTCCTCTCCCTCTGCCAACTGGACGGTGCCCATCTTTTGGCCTCTGAGCGCACAGCGGGCACTCTTCCAGCTCCCTGCCTGGCTGTCTGCCCAGGATGGGCATGGGAGGCAGCAGGCCCTGTGTAGGGGAGGGGGTGGTGCAGGGAGGGGTGGCTTCCCCCCAGCTGCTTGGACACCACCTCCCACACCTCTCACAGCCTACAGGCTGGGGACTCAAGCTTCTGCTCCTCCATTCAGAAGTCTGACTCAACTACACAGAACTCTGCCCCTTCCTCTCCCTGTCAGGGTCCCCCTAAGACGGGGTCTCTTTCCTGCCCCACTTTGTGTCCACCTAAGGAGAAGGGAATCAGCAAGTGTTTTACTCGTATTCTCTCATTTAACCCTCTCAACAATCCTGCAGAATGGGCATCCTTGGTCCCATTTCAGAGATAAAGAGTTGAGGCTCGGACAGGAATAGCCATGTGCCCACTCTAAGAGGAGCACAGCTGAAATTCAAACCCAGATCTGCCTGACTGCAGAGCTCCCAGCCTCTTTCCTATCACCAGCAGCACCTCTTAACCCTGTGCACTGCCAGAAGCTAGGGCCAGCCTCTGTGGATAGAAGAGAGCTGGGCTCAGGAATAGGGCTGAGCGTTAAGACATACGGTTATGTCAAGGGTTAAGGAACTGGGCATTAGCCCTGGATGATGACAGGAAAGATGCTTGCCCAGTCACATGGAGATATTTCTGCCCTTATGATAAATGCCAAGAAGCCACTGGTTCGGAGACTGGGGGGACAGGTTCTGTGAATCAGCCCCCAGAAACTGGGAACAGTTCCAAAGGTGTCAGCAGGACGATGCACCCATCTTTCCCCACCCTGAGGTGACCTCCTGCATCAGGAGGGCTCCAGGATCCTGACCTGAGCCGAAGGCAGACCTTAACCACTGAGCCACCCAGGCGCCACTGTAGCTCACTTCCTGAAGATGAACCCTTAACATTTCTCATCATCTGCATCGCCGCTATTTCATTTGACCCCCTATTCCCCTCAACTACTTCACACCCACCCAACCCAGGGGTGAGAAGAGATACAGCTTCTGAACAGAAACAAAACACTGAGACCCCTCAGTGAGCCGGAGGGTGGGTGACATGGACCCCACGAGATCCTCTGGCCCACCCCCCAGGGAAGATAGGTTCCAGGCCCAAAGCAGAGTCTCCTGGGGTAGGGAAAAGGCTGGGAAGCCATCGCCACGGATCAGGGGCAAAGCAACGCAGGTATTAATTCTCCAGCTCCGAGACGAGAGAATTGCTCCTGGAAGCTGGCCTGGTGCCCTGGCACAACCAGTGTTCCAGCTGCCTCCCCCTGAAATGCCTCAGGTGCCGCCCCACCCCCACTCTCATTCCTCAACAGGTAACTTCCCTCCGGCCCTCCTCCCCGGCCTCTCTGGAGAGGCGTTGCTCTTGGTGGGGAGGGGGCAGCTGGCTTGTTTGAGGGATCAACAATGCTTAACTGAGCTTCTCACACACTGCCCCCCCGCCCCGCCCCTGGCCTGCTCCTGGGCACCTGCAGTTGGGAGGTTATGGGGGAGCACGCTAGAGGTGAGAATTCTCAGCCTCTCCTCCCCCAAGGTACAGTCAGAACAGGGAGCGCACCTGGACAAACATCTGGGCAGGAAGAGGGACGTGGGGCCAGGGGTGAGCACAGAGAGGCACGGGGGCCTCTAGGGAAAGGCACAGGAAAAAGGATGACGCAGAAATGATGGGTGGGATATGTTGAAGTGCTCACTCTGCCATGGTGGGAACCACCCCCGCCCCCAGACCCTAGAGAAAGCCCCCTGCCAGCGGGGCTATTGTCCAGCCAGCGCATTTCATGAGCCCCCTTAGGACCATCCACACTCCATCAAGGGTGGCCTGCAGGCAGCCAAGGGGCTGCGATTCGGCCCTGTTCTGGAGAGAGAATGACCAGGGGCGCTGACCTGGCATCTGGGGCAGAAACTGGCAGGGGTGGGGGAGGTGAGGAGGAGGAGGTTCTTCCTTCTGACCACAGACTAGCGCCCCAGAGCCCCTCCCAGGTCCCCTCCTGCATTCCTGGCCCTCCCATTCCCCCTCCCACCCTATAGGAGAGGAGTGAATAGCCGTGAGTTTCAAAAGACCGTCCCTCATTCCCTGCGGTCCTCCCGCTCCTGCTTCTTATTGTAATGAATGCTAATGATGCTTCATAATTGATGCCCTCATTAGCACATCAAACCCA